TTGACTAAAATACCGCACTTACTCAAATTCAGAATATATTCAATTAAATTTAATGCTTGTGGTAAACTTATGATATATTTGCGGATATACAAATTTATGATATACTTAAAATAAATAATATTTACTTGAATACAGTACACGTTTAAATCAGTATAAATAATATTTACTTGAATACAGTATACATTTTTCTCTGTGTATGACTCTCTTTTTTTGTTTTTTAAATTCCAATGGAAAATGGAAAATCCATTTGTGTGTGCTCATAATGTCATTTGAGCTTGAAAAATCGAAATTGACACGGAGGTGTGCTTCCTCCCTGTGCTTCATTTACACATGATTAAATAAATCGTATTATTCGCTCGTCGCGCGCTTCGGCGAAACGTTAAACCCCGACATTACACGCGAGTGTACACTTATAGACCCTTCATATAGTACGTGCCATCGCTTATAAGCCTACTTGTAATTGGATTACAGACTTTACGGACACTCTGATGCAAAAGTTTCAGAGACCTTTCGAAGAATGTTATATAGGACGCGGGAGAGTAATGATTTTAATTCTAGCACAGATTTATTTATCTTCCAAGTTTAATATGCAGAATATTATAGCGAACATTATATTAGAAATTTAAAGAAATTATCTTTTTCAACAAACGATGATTTTTTAAATGAGTGATTCCCAAAATATATTATCCCGTAGATATTTTTAAAAATTATTAATATATATTTTTTTCAACAATTATTAATATATATATTTTTACTCGTTGGAATAGTTAAACATTTAAATTAGTTAAATAGTTAGACATTTTATTACAAGATGTTAATTTAAAGACGTTAAGTCAAGATGTTAAATTTGTAAAGACGTTAAAAGGAACAGTATATTTTTGTGTAGTCAAGAAACATTAATTCTTTGTCGGCGAACACTAATGCCGACAGTAAAAACGAGAACCATGTAACCGTAACGATACTTCACTTCCTTCTAAAACGGCACGTGTCTACAAAGCGGTTTTACCCCTCTGTGAAATACACGTATATACATACTTCGTTGAACGCGATATTTGTATAAGGCTACTTACCTACAACGCACGTGTTTGGATCGCATCCGTGTGCTAGAGGCTGGTAAATATACACCCCTTGTATTTAAATTTCAAAATAGACTCATTAAAAACAGTATCGAAAAGTTCAATGTGTCGATTGAGCTAGTGTATTTCCGTCTGTAATATTCTTCACACTTTTCGAATAATTATTTCAAACAAATAGAAAAGCACATATTTTCAATCAAAAATATGTGATGTGAATAATCGCTTTTAAATATATATTTTTAAAAATTAATTTAATTATTTTAAAAGATCATTAAATTGATATTAATTGTATTTCTTTGAATCATTTATACATTTTTACTCTTATATTATACCGGAATTATTCCGGAAAATAAAGTATAGATATACATTCTAAATCATTATTCTTAAAGAGAAAATTTCAAGTTCTCTTAGAAGTAACTATAGCACATAGTTGTGTGTGTGTGTTCACAAGATTGTAAATCGATTTAATTTCATTTCTATCACAACTCGGTTCCTCTCAACTAGAATAGATGTGATTATCTTTATCGATGAGATTATGCAAAGGAACTGACGCAGCATCTCTCTCTCCGTAAAACGGTTTGATGAATCGAATTACTCGTGCATGAATCATTGAATGATCACTTTTAAGCCCCAAGTCTTAACCGATTGGATGAGAGATTCAAGAAAAAAAATGCGTAACGAAAACAATTAATTGCATTTTCTGCGTTGCATTTGAAACTAAGTGGGTTACATGTAAACATGAGGATTGCTATTTGACCTCACCCTTCGGTGCTTTTTTCACCCTAAAAATAACAAATGCAGATGCCTGTGGATGCCCTTTTTTCCCGAACAATAGAAAGGCTACGTAAATACAGCCTACTGCATAGATCAATCTTTTTCGATCGGAGTTAGAACGTAGTTATTAAAGTTGCTTTTGATGTCGACCTACATTGCTACTGTCAAAATCGAATTTTAAATATGTAGTATCAGTAAATTTAAAATTCAATTATAATATTAACAGTGCTTTACCCTTTATATACATTACGTTGAGATAAAAATGTAAAATAATTTTAAAGCTAGAACTATATAAAAATAAAAATAATATAAATTATTTAAGAAAAATATGCACTATATAAAAGTAAAGAAAATAAATTATTTATAATAATTTATAATTTATATTATACAAAAATATTTATATATCTGCATTCACAAATATATTGTACTAAAAAAATTACTATTTCTCAAATAGTAGTTTCTGCAACATTAAATTTAGATCTTTGAAAGAAAACGTAATTTATTCTAGATGTATTATATATGTATGAAAATATAATAATTAGTCAAATTTTTTGCCAAATTTTATCAAAATCCAGACTTGATATCTAGCACGAAAATTTAAAAATAAAATTATATTAGATAAAATATATTCTAAGAAAAAAATATTTTTATAATAGAATATTTGATAAAACATTTTTAATTGAATAAGATAAAATCTTAAATCTTTATTAAAATCTTAATTTATTAAGATAAATATCCATTGAAAAAAAAGAGAAAGTATTTTTATATTTTTAAATATTTGTTTCAATAGAATATAATATATTTTATTTGATATTTTGCTTATAGAATACTTTAATAAATAAAAAATGCTAATCGACAAAATTTATTTCAATCTTTGATCGGTTCAATACAACTATTTACTAGGCTAAGTTGTCGATGAAAGGGTCATGGTAAGTGCATGTACCTGTGCGTCTGGCTAAGGTTCGGAGCAGACGAGCGTCCTTTTATGGTAGCGAACTGCATTCTTCATGGACTTGTATTCAAAACATACAACCTGATCGTTCTAAAAATAGAATTGATGTATTCGGTCCACATACATAGTGAACTTGAAATGTCAATACAAATAAATAGAGAGATAAGTTTTATCTGCACGAATAGATACATGGATAGTGTAGATTTATTTCAGTAAGAATCTCTCGAACAAGAAGAAGAAGAAGAAGACATGTGTGATTATATAATATATAATTATCGTTCTAAAAAATATTGCTCCACATTAAAAATTATTCCTTAAAATGATACTAATTTGTTTTAAAAAAATTCATTTTTATAAATTTTTTTTATATTTAAATTCTTAAATATATTTTACCATTAGTATGTATTTTTAAATGCAAAAAGATGTTGTTTTATCAAAAAATATTAATCGTGAACTTTCTGAATATCCTTACAACCTTGTGAAGGAATTCTGTAATTACGATTCTGATGGAGGGCTCTTTATATATTTCATATGCTTGCTAGATTACATATCCAACATGCAGAATTACGTTTTGCAATGCAAATGAAATACTATGCATTGTCTGATGATATTCAGGAATACGAAAGTTTGTTACGCTTGATTGAAGCGACAGATTTAAAAGTTTTGTTTTAAAAGTTACGTATTTAAAAGTTTATATTCAAAAATAGAGAGAAGAGAGGTCATAGAATATATTATATATATATGCTGTACACGAAATGTATGTGAAATTTCATTATGTATCTGATTAATGGAGTAACGGACGAAAAATTTACTGTTATTTGAGAAGTTATAATTTAACTTCATATTATATTTATATTATTTAAGGTACTTATTTGCACATATTTTCGTGTTAATTCGCGATTAATTATTTTTGTTTTGCGCTGATGCAAGTTGAAATTATCGAAGCGAGAACGAAATGAGAATGAACTTCGTTAAGAATGAATTACAGTATCGATGTATTATCAGCAGACAAAATTCTATTTTAATTATTTCATTTAACAAAAAAACCAAGGTTAAATTTTATCTTCTTATTTTTATGAATTATTATTATTCTTTTTGAAATTTTTCTAATATGTTTTTCGCTTTTTATTTCCTCTTCCACGAATATTTATCTTCTTCTCTCTTTATTTAAACGCAATTATTATCGCGTTGAAGCAAATCATCATCGCGCAAAAATTCGATTTTCCACGGCTTTCGTAGAAACATAGGCAATTATTATATTCAGTAGCTTCTGCTCTAATGATCGTAGCAACGCGTTAATTACACTCTCTGTCGGATGGCGCCGGAATTTTGCCGAAGACACCGTACATGACATCATTGTTTGCTAGCGATGAAGATAGAAAAAGACTTAAGGACCGAGAGATGGTCGGCGTATCGTTCGAGACACACTTCAATTAAACTCACTTGAGAGGAAGAAGAGAGATACGAAGGAGCTTCCTCGTAAAACGCGGCTATCGGGAGCTGCACTTCGGGGAGAGACGGGAGTCCCCGTTTAAGTGATCGTTACATCTCGATGGCGAAACACAACAACGGGAGAGAGAGACCATTCATCGAGTCGTCGCTGTATCTCGAAATAGACGCGACAGATGGACGAGAGGGAGGCTGCGGCGGGAGGTGGTGGGTGCTAGGATTTTATGGATTTAAATTGGCCAAAGGGCGAGTCGCGATGCTACCCAATTGGCGCGTGCGTGGAAACCGCCTGACTCGTTGACTTTTCGAATGAAACCAATTGCTTCTGCGGCACCGATACGACGACGTGCCATCTGTCCATAGTAGATATCTCGCACATCCGTTGCAAAAAGTGCCGAGTCAGAATTATATAGTACGTATACAGCATGTTCTCTGACTGAGGTGAAATTTGCACGCGTTGTCACGATCGTTGAGGTGGAAGCTTGCGGGAATTAATCTTTTGGAGAAGCTTATCGCGTAATGAAACCCTGATCATATTAAAAATAATCATGAACAATAATTAATCTGTGATAATATTGTCAATTATTAATTAATCATGTTAATTATATTGAAAATATGAATCTTTTATAATTGTAATCATTATAAGACCTCATGAATATAAATCCTTTATTCTATATTTTATTATTTTCTGTTTGTATTTCCTGAGCACAAAAGTGTATATTGTATTAATTTTTTTTTTCTTTTTATAGCAAAAATGCGTGAAGGCGCGAGCACTTTATGACAATATTGCCGAGGCGCCCGACGAGCTGGCGTTTCGAAAAGGGGATGTTCTCACTGTACTGGAACAAAATACCGCTGGTCTTGAGGGATGGTGGTTGTGCGCTCTGCGAGGTAGACAGGTAAGAGTTTAACGAAAAGTATAATGGTATCAAAGCCACATTTGCATGTATATCTATACATTTTTCTGGAATAAAAGAAACTTTTAGAAGCTTAAGATTCTTGTGGAGTAACTCACGGTGTAAGAAATTATTATGTAAATTTTATATAACTCTATACATACTTTAAATGAATTTATTTATTGAGTAGGCTGGAAGTTCAATTTTATTCGTGAAGGATTGGCTCGTATTTTACTTCTGAACGATTCTATAATTGATCTTTAAATCTATCGTTTAAATTCCAATTTCAATACAATTCAATTACATCTGTTACGTGAAAGCGCATAATAGCCAGACGTGTAATACTTGAAACTCCTTCGTTGATCTTTCTTGATTCCGTTCGCGCGCGTCTCCATTAACCGGCTCTCTCCGATCTATTATTCTTTAATGGAGTTTACCTATCGTATTAACGAAACACGCGTTGGGTGCTTTCACATTTCAGTATTTCGTACGACCATTATTTATGCTTGTTTCTATAACGCTTAAGAAATAAGACAGGCTCCAGAATGAAACTCTCTTTCGACGTTATTATCGCGAAAATAGGACACTAGATCGCGTTAGATGATTTAGCCTCATGATCTTTCCAGGCACGACTGCACGCTGCGATTTGTACAACTGGAATACGCGATTAAGTCAATTACCAAGAACCACCGATACTTATGTTCATTAATTTGAATTAGAAAGGAAAAAGCTCGGGAAAATAACAGAAAATTTTTCTCTAGATAATGTTTAAATTAATAATTCTTTGACGATAAAAAATCGTGACAATTCTCATCATTAAATCTATTTAATAAATTCAAAACATTCATTAATTATATTAATTTAATAAAAATCCAACATAACATTATCTCTTGCTATTTTAACAATTGCTTTTCAATTTTCAATTTAATTTTATAATTTTTTTCTGCCTAATTTTTTAAACTTTGAATAGAAAATAAATATATATTTTAATAGAAATTTTTTATATTTTTTTTGTAAATTTTACTGCTATTATTATTGTTCAATTTTTTTGTAATATATATTTAAAAAAAAATATATTTTACATTTTTATCTCTCGAGTTTTAAATTTTGCTCCTTTTTAATTCTAGACTTCTCTTTTTATACAACTGCTTATGATATATATTTCATTCAAGAAATAAATTTATATTTAGCGGTAATTAAACTGTCGACGGTTTTCATATACAAGTCTCTCGTGCACGCAACTATTTATGCATACCTGCATAATGCATAAAGGCTGATGTACCGAACTTTAAGATTCTGAGGATATGACGAAGCAATATGTTATTATAATGGAAATAGGACTAACGGCTGTGCATTTTGCAGTTATGTTCGGTCTAGTAACTACATTGCTACGATACATTGTATTGTAAATATTTTTAGGAGCACAATTCAAAGCTCGAGAGATAATAAACTGAAAAATATTAAAATAAAGCATATTACAAAAAAATAAATTAAAAAATAATATAATAATAATATGAAACTAAAATTTACATTAAAAAGTTATAAAAAATTGCGTTATTAATTATTAAACATCTTTCAAAAAAATCGCATCATTTTTATAGAGCATAACATTTCATAATAAAGATAAAATAGTTATTTATTTTTTATTTATAAATTGAGCAGAAATCGAATCGCACAATTAATTGAGCTGATTGATTAATTATATTATAGTTTCTTAGACTAGAGTCTCGCAAGATTATTTTCGCGTTGCGTGCTTCGACCTCCGGTAACCTTCTCGTGAACGTTGATCGTATCGAACCGCTTTTCCTGAAAACGACTTTCATCTGTCGAAACACTTTTCTCGTCGTTGCTGCCGACACATATGCGACCTGTTTGGACACATGTGTGCGGTAATTGAGAGTGGAGGCAACCTCGCGTGGGTGGGAAGGTGATTGAATGATATGGTCTCCTGATCTTTATTAGAAAGCCAGGAACTTCTGACGTCAAAATAGTCTAATGGAAAAGGCATTGACCGAACTGGCAATGTGTTCTATAAGTAATATGATGGATGCTTCCGTAACTTTCGAAATAATGACATATGATGTCGATTTTTTTATTCTTTTCACGAGAAAATTATTCGCGTGACTCTAGAGATTAGAATTAATTATTTGATTAGAATCAAAATTGTTCTACCGACATTGCATATTAGCATCAGCGCTTCTGCTTTGATGTCATGTGGTGGATCGAAATAATTATAAAGGTTGTCGTTACTTAAGCATGTATTGTTACTAATATTTTTATAATTTTATGTGCTTTCTTTCAGATCCACTCTTAAAAAGAGCATGTTAAATCGATTCTCGCAAGTATTATTGCCACTTTTCTGCGATGTTAATTAGTTGTCTCGATTTACATATGTATTAATTTATGTATTAAAATTCTCAGTTAAAAATTCTCAATTTAAAATTCTTAACTCAAAATTCTCAGTTTAAAAAACTTACTTTAAAATTCTCAATTTAAAATTGACAGCTGTCTATTGGCAAAGCGATATGCAGATCTCTATTTTTTTTAGTCTATATTTGACTTCGAAAATTAACGATTCGTAATTTCTCGCGAATTGTGTTGTCCTTCTTATATTTATGTAAAATAGAATAACACAAATGTCTATTGACCTTCTTATATTTATGTAAAATAGAATAACACAAATGTCTATTGACAACACAATTCGCGAGAAATTACGAATCGTTAATTTTCGAAGTCAAATATAGACTAAAAAAAATAGAGATCTGCATATCGCTTTGCAGATTCTTTCGTATATTTTTTTTGTTTCTTTTTCTATTGTAAAATTTATTGGAAGATTTGAAATCCTAAGGTATCATAGATTCGAGATTTTCGGGTTAACATGCTCGCAATGTTAATGTCATCCTACCAAAATCGCGCATGAAAGGCTCATATCTCTTGAGATTTATGAGTTACAACTTTGTAATACTCTTGAGACTGTGTACTGGGTAAACGAATGAGTTACGCGGCATGCATCTCGCAGTGGCAACGCTCGTTTCTCAAGGCACGTTGCAGCAGAGGGTGTAACGTTTATTTTCGTCTTGATTTCACGGAATTAGACAAACTCGCAATACACTCACAGACACCTAATTGGATCCTTCCCTTTCAAGAGTCGCTCTCGATGCATACAATTGGGTATAAAAACTACCACGCTTTTTCAGAAAGAAAGAATAAGTCAATTTTAAATTAAAAATATCGACAAATAAATATGTATAATATATAGAATATAATGATAATAATATATAAATAATATATAATATAATGATAATAATATATAAATAATATATAAATAACATTTTTATTTGACGTTAAAAGATTGCAACTAAATGCCTCTCTTGTTCAAGTTCATTCAATAAAATATTTTAATAATATGTCAATAAAATATTTTAAAATTTTAAGAATTGTATGTAATAAATAAAAATATTGGAAATGCGATTATAAATAAATAATGTAAATTAATTAATAATTAAAAACTAAAATATTAACGTTATTATTGTAGCATTAAAGCGTTACAATATATATGATGGAAAAATATATTTCTCATTTTGTTTAAGTCATGTTGACAGAATATACGCGATTAAAAATTTATTCGAAACGGTGCAGTCTCAAGCTGTGTATGTTATTACATTATATTTTTTTGCCCTAGGGCATCTGTCCAGGAAATCGATTGAGACTTCTGGTTGGCCAATACGATACAGGGGGTTGTTTGGTCGGCAGCAGAGCCGACCTAACCATTTCTGAGGACGGCATACAAAGACATGGGAAGAGACGTAGCTGGCACGTGCAGCCCAATAGGGTGAGTTATGAGAAATTATTTTTAAAAAATAGCATTTTCAGTTTTTATTTTCAAAAATACTGCATTTTAAAACTATTCTTAAATCGCATAAAAGAGAGTAAATTTTTCCTTGCTGAACGTTTCAAATTGCTAATCATTAGCCTTCGTTCGCGAACTAGAATGCTTAGTAAAAATAATAATAATAATATCTTGCAAATTTATATATTTTGATCTTGAAACAGATAACTTAAATGCACAAAATATATAGGAAATACACTAATAAATGCAAAACTGGTTTACTTAATTACCAGAAATTTGTTTAATTAAAAAAAATCCGAATGTAAAAGATTCTTATATACCATTAATATGGAAATAACGTATGTCCATTAAGCATGTTTTAATGAAATTGCGATAAATAATCGTTTCGTTCGTTTACGAATATTTAAATGCAGATTCTTTACGCCCACAATCGGGAATTCCGAAGCGAATGGATTGCACGAACGCATGAATACGTTCTACGATTATAATTCTTCCGTGCCGTACATTTGAATAGCATTTTATTGGCTCTACTGTGACACAACTGGCTTCTCGAATTAATATATCCGTGATCTGAAAAGCGCACGAGAACCTATTCCCTATTCGATCATTTGTAAACAACTGCGGACAGAGTTTCTCAAACGCTTAATATACAATATATTATATCCAAGATTTATACATTTTTTAAAGAATTTTTTCATAATGATTATTTTTCTTAATTTTATATAATGATTATGAATCTTTTTTATAAGATAAAGAAGATACAAACTATTTGTTTTTTTAATTAACTATATTTAATAATATCACAATGTATTGCAAATTTTTTTAAATAGTAGTTTATTATGTAGGTTAGAATGATTAATATATATATATAATATATATATATATATATATATATATATTATATATAACTAAAAATTTTTGATCAGTATCGAAATAAAAAACAATGTCATTTATTTTAAATATATATTTTGTATAGAATATAATGCGTAAAGGGAATAAAAAATTGGTTGCTCCCTGAAAAATGTAAATTAATAATATTTAAATTGATTTTATTATAACTTGATATATATCCTGAATTTTTAGCAAAATATAATTCTAGTCTTATAAGTCTAGTCTTTCTTGAACATAGTAGTTAATTGTCTATAGTTCTATCTGAATAGTCTATCTGAATATAGTAGTTAATCAGAATATTGGACAGCTAATAAAATCGCAGATATTCCTATTATTTTTTATTTTTCTGTTTAAACAATTATACGGTTTATTTATTCGCGGTTTGGGAAGCCCTGCGTCACAGAATTGACAATAGCGTTCGGCCAAGGGCTTATTGTGTTGACAATCTTTTACGCTCCCCATGGGAACTGTCAAAATCAGCTGACTGCCACTTGGTTCGTTCAGCTCTTCCGGACGTCGACACTGCCGTTGCTGTGTATCTGACTATGTATCGCGGTTTAATATCTGTCACTGACATAAATTCGATAAAATATACGCGATCGATTAGGACGAATTTATTTGCTGGCGTCACAATGAAAATAATTATCTTGGTTGAAAATAATCGTATTTAGATTGGTAAAACACAAAAAAAGTAATGACAATAATGAAAAAAATGTAATAACATTATCAATAATAATATAAATTCCACGCTTTAATATAATTTACTTTATAACGTACAAACAATTCTAAAAAAATTATTAAAAATTGAAAAATTATTTTACTTTGTCTGTTTTTAAAATTTTTCAACTACAAAAAAGCATTTATTTAAATTGAGTTATGTTACGTTTGCAACAAAGTTTCAATCCCCTTTAATTTAAATTTTTTTGGCTGTATTTTTATTTAACTTTGAGCTTTGTATTTAAATTTAAAATACTAAATATTTTAATTTTATTTTAATTTGTTCGTATATATACATGTGAAATATATAATTTTACCAAATTTTTCTTAATATATTTCTCTGGATCTATCTCTGAATGTGTTGAGATTTAGTCTGGTCTTTCGCGAGCAGCAATGTATTTCGGGCTTCGAAAATGGCCGGTTTCTTGTCGGTGTTGGCAGTTTCTCGAGCTCTTCTTGTTTCCTGGTCGATCTGCGAGGACTTTTTGCTCTGCACGGTCTTGACAGGCGAACATCCGGACGCAACGTCTCGGTGTCATTGTACGCGTGATGCATGCATGTGCATCCCTGCTAGAAATACGACTTTGTTGTCGTCGCCATCGCAGGGTCAACGTAACGCGAATGAGCTTTTCTACTACGTCACACGGGTGATTGCACTAGAAAATCAGCATTCGCAGGTGACGCGACTCGCGTTAGATACGATTGTCTTTGATTGTCAAATTTGATTTACAATATATTCCAACATTTTTTTTCTCTTTATTTATTCTTTTACATTTTTTGTTATAGATATCGTATGAATATTATACCAGATATCATATGAATATTTAACTTGAAGCAACAATTAGTACAATAAAATTTAAAATTAATATACAAGTAAAATATAAAATCCCGCGTAAAAATATTGATTGTATAAATGTATATCAAATCTTCTGTATTTGTTAGAAAACAGACGTATCGAAAAAGTAAATTATATTTCAAACTCTTCAAAATATTGAAATTTGGCCGAATATAAATTTCACAAATTTGAATAAATGAATCAAAAATTAAATGAAAATTTAAATATATATATATATATATATATATATATATATACACACATATACATATATATACATATATATACAGAGAGAGAGGGAGGGAGGGAGAATCGAAAATTAATTCCGTGAATGTAAATTTTTCCATCACTCCAAAAAATACGATACGCGACAATGTCTCATGGGTATCATTGATCGGTATCACCATTATTTACAAAACTCTCCTGATCCCTTGATGCTTCCTATACCCGTTGTATCGATAGCATACCGTCGCGTCGCATCCTGGAGCGATTTACGAGAATCCGGTCCCGCTGTGTGCTCCACAAGGAGCCACCTTTTCTGGCACGAAGGTGCGCGGATATCCTTATATGTCCGCCGGTACCAGACAATGTCCACTCTGATACCTATTCTCTCCTGTTCGTTGTCTTTTTTGCGATGTGAATACGCAAGACACATCTGCGCGCGTGCGCGCATCACAAAGTGAGGTCCTTGGAGTCATCTCGATGGAATGTCTAGGGCGGTTAGACTCAAAGAAGAGCGGGCGCGTTTCATCCACGAGGCTCTTCCTCGGTTGCATACTTTCTTCCTTCCTTCGCCGACTCCTCAACTTCCCAGAATAGCTCGTGATGTACATTTTCACGAGTTAGATCTGGGAGAGGCCGGATGCTTTCCCTCTCACTTGCGTCAGTTTGAGTTACGCGAAATTATGATACAAATTAGTGATAAGAAAGTATTTTATTCAAATTTAGTAAGAAAAAATAATAATAAAAAAATCTGTAATAATAAATAAAATATGATAGAGAAAGTTTTACAGATACTCTCTGCGAGATTAATTGTTGTGTTTTGAAAAATTTTCGATTTTTTTAATATTTTTTTAAGCAACATTTTAAATCTTACCTACGTGACAAATTTATATAATGCGCTGCATTAAAAATTCATATTTTATACAAATAAAACTAATATAATGATATTTATTTAATGAATAATCATAATTTAATATAAAAATAAATATTGTTTCTTTTTGCAAAATTTATAATTGGATATTTTTTGCACTATTATACTCAATATATATACTCAATTTATACTGAAAGTTACGTTGTTAATCGTTTAGAAACGAGATATGTTGCGGCTGAGCGCTTATATATTTGTCGATACGTTCCAAGTATTTAAATTCGCGGAGACACAAGAAGAGAAACATGAGCGTGCTCGACATAGGCGAAAGGAGCTTCGTGTGCACCGGTGATGTTAACTAGAATAACCAGATCGTGGCACGTTCGCCTTCTCTCTCTCGATTTGTAACAGTTAGTCAGTAACGTATGCAGTGCGAGTCTACGACAAGTGCATTGCTCGCATTTCCGCATAGGCGGCGAATTGCAAGTGTGATTTGGACATTTTATTATCTCTCTCTATTTGACGATAATTTTTATAAAGTAACTTCAATCAATTCATCAGAATATCTCGAGATTTATCTCGATATGTAACGTATGTCGCTTGATAAAATTTGTTTACATAGATGTGGAATAAATTAAATTCGCTGGCAATTTGCTGAAAAAAATTCATAGGAAAAGCTTACGCATTGTTATCTTAGAAACAATTTTTATCATAATTGGATTATTTGAGAATATATCTTATGCTACTTAATTAAGATATGATACATCAGATTCAGAAAAATCAAATAAAATAGAATCTATAATGATTTTTAAAAGTAACCCAGTTAATTTCGTAGCTTCCAAATTCAGAATTAAAAGGCTTGAACATGTATGTACTTTATTTTTGCATTTAGATTTCAGAAAAACGATTTTACATAAAATATATAAGTTACACGAGATTCTTGTCCTGTTTTGTATTAAATGATAATTATTAATAAAAACATGAAATTAATTTTATTTTTTTAAAAATAAATTCTTGCAAAATGTACTTATATTTTGTAAATTTACCACGTACATATCTAAAATTGATTTTAAAAAATAACGATAATCTAACACGTCTAACAAAATGATTTGTATGCCCTGGGTGCTAGTGCTTCTTGCGACCACTATTGCCTACGCGACGGCGTAGGCAAACTGTACCGGCTGAAAATGGCATGGAAAGACAAGGAGGAATGGCAGATAGCGAAACGGCAGACAGGTTTTACGCGACAGAGAAACTGAGGAAGATAAACGCGCTGAGAGTTGTCTAAATGTGGGCTGAGTTGTCTTTAACTGCCGGTATCAATGAACTGTCAAACGCGTGGGATTACTCGTTCTTAACACTGACAAATTTCTTATCCCGAACGCAGATAGTAATTCAGTATTATTTTTACAATATTCGCTAGGTGAATAAGATATACGGCTACTTTAA